TCATTGTCCTGCCCCATTCTGTTCGCCTGGAGGCCTCCTCCAACCCTGTGGGCGAACAAGAGGAATCCCAGCGGGACGCCAACCCTGGGGCCCGTGGGCCCCGCGCCGCTTGGGCAGAAGACGAACGCCGGGTCTGACAGGCCAGCTACCGCCCCCCTTTGCCCGATATGCTGTGCCATTCTGTTCCCCCAGGGGCCTTGGCAAACTCTTCGGGCCAAGCAGACCGGACCCCTGGGACAGCAGCCAATTGATATGACCCTGGGACCTCTCCGCATTCTTCGGACGAGCATCTGGGGGGCCCAGGAGATTCGGACATGTCTTCCCCATTCCTTGCCCTGTCCCGTTCTGTTCGCCCGAAGGCCTCCACTGACCCTCTGGGCGAACAGAATGGGACATGGCGAACAAACCCTCCCGTTGGCGGTGATGCGACTGGATCGCACCATCAAGGCGCGCCCGGAGGTGATGGCCGACCCAACAGCGGTTTCTCTTAAGAGTTCACTGGATTTCAAATTTTCTTGAAGCTCTCTTGGGCCCTCCCTGTAGATCCTTGCGAGCCTCCCCGGCGCTTTCGGTGGCTTTCCCCGATGGCCTCCCGAGCCCTTCCCCGAGCGCTCCTGAGACGCCTCAGATGGGCTTCGACTTCGACGCACATCCCCGAGAGACTTCGAGACTGTCCTCAATAGGACGGGGGGGAACGAGCAGTGCGCTGGGCCAAGCTGCTGCAGCGCTGCAAGAGCTCGGACACGATGCGCGGTCTCGCTGCCGCCGCCCGAGCCGCCGCCGTGTTTGTAGATTTTCGGTACAATCTGCGCCGTTCCTCCGAGAACCATTCTAGAAACATGTCGTGGACGGAGTCCACGGGTCAGCCCTAGTCAGCTATAGTGCTGGGATCAGCGCGTGCGAGAAGGGCGAGCAGTGGCAGCCGGCGCTTGCGCTGCTGAGCGAGATGCGGGAGGCGAAGCTGGAACCCGACCTCATCAGCTACAATGCTGGGATCAGCGCGTGCGAGAAGGGCGAGCAGTGGCAGCGGGCCCTGGCGCTGCTGAGCGAGATGTGCGAGGCGAAGCTGGATCCCGACGTCATCAGCTATAGTGCTGGGATCAGCGCGTGCGAGAAGGGCGAGCAGTGGCAGCGGGCCCTGGCGCTGCTGAGCGAGATGTGGAAGGCGAAGCTGGAACCCAACGTCATCTCTACTACATTGCAGGGCCCAGTGCGTACCAGAAGGGCGCAGGATCAAGTGACTAATAATCGCCCCGGGCTGGCCCCGGGCCGCCCCGGGCCGCCCAGGCAGGCCCCAGGACATGTCGAGAGGGCCCCCAGAAGCCCCCAAGACGGCCCCGGAGAGCCCCGGCACGCTTAAAGATGGGCCCAAGACGCCCGAGATTCGCCCCAGGCGGCCCAAGAGGCGTCCAAGACGCCCGAAGAGGCCTCCCAAGAGGCCTCCCAAGAGGGCTGCGAGCGACAGAAATCGTAGATTTCTACTGTGTTTTTCGATGTTTTCGGCCTCCTCGCCTCGTCGGCTTCCCGACGCTCCAAGAGGGCCCAAGAAGCCCCCCCGACCGCTCCAAGACGGCCGAAGAGGACCCCAAGAGAGCCCCAAGACGGGCCAGGAGGGCTCCCAGACGGTCCCAAGACGCCCCAGGACGGCCCCAGGACGGCCCAGGAGGCGCCCAAGACGGCCCAAGAGGCACCCAAGACGACCCCAGGAGCGGCCCAAGACGGCCCACGACAGCCCAAGAGGCGCCGAGGCGGATCTCAGACAGCCCCAAGACGGCCCAAGAGGCACCCAAGACGGCCCGAGAGGGCCCTAAGAGCCCCCCCGGGAGGCCCAAACGAAGGCCGAAGAGGCTCCGAAACGGCCCCCACGAAGCCTTCAGTGCCTTCAGCAATCCCTCCAGGAGCGGGGGAGCGGACGAGAGGCGACATGCATATCGCAGGCAAAAACGCCCCAAGAGATCCCCAAACGGCCCCCACGAAGCCCTAAGTGGCCTCAGAATTGCTTCCAGGAGGGGGGGAGCGGACGAGGGGCGACCGGCATATCGAAGGCACAAAAGAACAATGTTGGACGCTCCGAGGGCCTTCGATGTTTCTCCGTTGGGGAGAGTCGTCGTAGGATCGACGATTGCCGACCGAGGGCAGCGAATCTAGTGGAGGCCCAAGAGGCCCCCAGGAACCCAAAAGAGATCCCCAAGAGGTGCCACGGGGCTTAAAAACTGCTTCGAAGCGAGAGGACCGCCAAAGAAGCCCTCGGGGGCACCAAGACAGCCCAAGGGGCGCGATAGACGAGACCAGAGAGGCCAAAGAGGCCCCCAGGAGCCACAAAGAGGGTCCCCAAGAGGTGCACGGGGGCGGACGGGGGGACCGCCTCAGGAGGTTTTGGACGGTTTTGGGCCTCAAAATCGTCCGCTTTACGACGGTTTTGGAAGGATTTTGGCCTTCTCGCCTTTTCCGCTTCCCGACGCTCGAAGACGGCCCAAGAGGCCTCCAAGAGCGCCCCAGAACGGCCCAAGAGGTTTCCAAGAGCGCCCCAAGACAGCCCAAGAGGGCCCCAAGACGACCCAAGAGACGCTCAAGACGGCCCACGAGGGCCCGAAGACAGGCCCAAGAGGGGGCCAAGAGGGGGACCACGGACCGAAAATCCGAGCCTTCCGCCCCAAGAGGGCGCCAGGAGGCCCAAACAGGCCCCCAAGAGGCCCCAAGGGGCCGCCAAGAATCCCCCGAAGAGGCCCCAGGAGGCTCCCAAGGAGCCCAAACGAGGCCCCTACAGAGGCCCCAACAGCTTCCAAAATGGCCCCGAAGAGGCCTCGAGCCCGCCTCCGAGCTTCCTCGCCGCGAGGGTGCAAACACGGCCCCAGACCGGCCCAGGACGGCCCAAGGCGCGCTCAAGACGGCCCAAGACGATTCCAAGACGGTCCCAGGAGGGTGCGCCCAGGACGGCCCAAGGACGCGCCCGTTCGGGGCCTCAAGACGGGCCAAGATGGCAAAGAGTCCCAGCTGGCAAAAATCGATAATTTTCCATTGTTTACTGTTACACCCTTTGCGTTTCCCGCCGTTTCGGCGGTCCGATGCACCAAGAGGCCCCAGAAAGTCCCAGGAGGGTCCGAGGAACTGCCCAGGAAGGCCCCAAGACGGGCCAAGACGGACCCAGCACAACCCAAGGCGCGCTGCGACGGCTCAAGACGCCAAGACAGCTCAAGACGGCGCCCCAAGACGGCCCCAGAGGGCCCCGGGACGCCCCAAGATAGGCCAAGACGCGCCAAGGCCCCAAGAGGCCCCCAAGACGGCCCCAGAGGGCTCCGGGACGCCCCAAGATGGGCCCAAGACGCCGAAGTTTGGGCCAAGACGGCCCCAGAGGCGGCCAAAATGCCCCAAGAGGCCTCCCAAGAGGCTTCCCAGCAGGGCCCCGAGCGGGAGAAATCGTCGATTTCCATTGTCTTTTTCGATGTTTCTCGCATTCTCCCCTTTTCGCCGTCCCTGCGCTCCAAGACGGCCCAAGAGGTCCCCAAGACCGCTCCAAGACCACCGACGAGGCCCGCAAGAGAGCCTCAAGACGGGCCAAGAGGACCCCCAGACGGTCCCAAGACGCCCCAAGACAGCCCAAGACGGCCCCAGAGGGCCCCGGGACGCCCCAAGATGGGCCCAAGACGCGCCAAGAGGGCCCCAAGAGGCCCCCCAGACGGCCCCAGAGGGCTCCGGGACGCCCCAAGATGGACCCGAGAGCCATATTGGACCGTCTTGGCCATTCGCGCCGCTCGGACCCCCGACATCTTGGGCAGCATTCGCCGTTCTCACCGCTCTGAACGCCATCTTGAGCCATCTTGGCCATTCGCACCGCTCGGGCGCCCCGACGAATCCACGCTCTCCTCCAGGCATCTTGCCATCACCTCGGAGCCTTCGCCTTCCAGAGCCTCGCGGGCTCAAACGGCCCAGCTGTCAGCCGCGCGTGCAACCCACCGGAGCCGTCACGACACGAAAACGTCACCATGCCATGTCAAGTGGCCCCCAAAGGGGTCTGCAAGCATTTTTTCTTAGAAAAATGGTCCGCAGGGCCCTTTGGCGCCCAGAGCGAGCCTACAGTAAGCGATAGTGGCCCTCGGAGGCCCTCTGAGAGCCATCTTGGACCGTCTTGGCCATTCGCGCCGCTCGGACACCCGACATCTTGGGCAGCATTCGCCGTTCTCACCGCTCTGAACGCCATCATGAGCCATCTTGGCCATTCGCACCGCTCGGGCGCCCCGTCGAATCCACGCTCTCCTCCAGGCATCTTGCCATCACCTCGGAGCCTTCGCCTTCCAGAGCCTCGCGGGCTCAAACGGCCCAGCTGTCATACATGGCCACGTCCGGTGCCCCCCCCCCCCCCAGGAGCCCGTTCCTCCGAGAATCATTCCAAAAGGTAACGTGGACGGAGTCCACGGGTCAGCCCTAGTCACCTACAGCGCTGGGATCAGCGCGTGCGAGAAGGGCGAGCAGTGGCAGCGGGCGCTTGCGCTGCTGAGCGAGATGCGGGAGGCGAAGCTGGAGCCCAACGTCATCAGCTACAGCGCTGGGATCAGCGCGTGCGCGAAGGGCGAGCAGTGGCAGCTGCGCTTGCGCTGCTGAGCGAATCGGGAGGCGAAGCTGGAGCCCGACCGTCATCAGCTTACAATGCGTGGGATCACAGCGCGGTGGCGAGAACGCGAGCGTGGCATGCGGGCGCTTGCGCTGCTGAGCGAGATGTGGGAGGCGAAGCTGGAGCCCAACGTCATCAGCTACAGCGCTGGGATCAGCGCGTGCGAGAAGGGCGAGCAGTGGCAGCGGGCGCTTGCGCTGCTGAGCGAGATGTGGGAGGCGAAGCTGGAGCCCAACGTCATCAGCTACAGCGCTGGGATCAGCGCGTGCGCGAAGGGCGAGCAGTGGCAGCCGGCGCTTGCGCTGCTGAGCGAGATGCGGGAGGCGAAGCTGGAGCCCGACCTCATCAGCTACAATGCTGGGATCAGCGCGTGCGAGAACGGCGAGCAGTGGCAGCGAGCGCTGGCGCTGCTGAGCGAGATGCGGGAGGCGGAACTGGAGCCCAACGTCATCAGCTACAGCGCTGGGATCAGCGCGTGCGAGAAGGGCGAGCAGTGGCAGCGGGCGCTTGCGCTGCTGAGCGAGATGCGGGAGGCGAAGCTGGAGCCCAACGTCATCAGCTGCAATGCTGGGATCAGCGCGTGCGCGAAGGGCGAGCAGTGGCAGCGGGCGCTTGCGCTGCTGAGCGAGATGTGGGAGTCGAAGCTGGAGCCCGACGTCATCTCTACTACATTGCAGGGCCCAGTGCGTGCCAGAAGGGCGCAGGCCCCAATGCACCGAAACCGCCCCGGGCTGGCCCCGGGCCGCCCCGGGCCGCCCCGGGAGGCCCCAAGACGCGCCAAGGAAGCCCCAAGAGGCCCCCAAGACGGCGCCGGAGGGCCCCGGCACGCCCCAAGATGGGCCCAAGACGCTCAAGATTGGCCCAAGACGGCCCAAGAAGCCTCCAAGACGCCCCAAGAGGCTTCCCCAGAGGCCTCCCAAGAGGGCCCCGAGCGGTAGAAACCGTCGATTTCCATTGTGTGTTTTCGATGGTTTCGGCCTCCTCGCCTTTTCGGCACCCCGACGCTCCAAGACGGGCCACGAGCTCCCCCAGACCGCTCCAAGACGGCCGAAGAGGACCCCAAGAGAGCCCCAAGACGGGTCAGGAGGGCCCCCAGACGGTCCCAAGACGCCCCAGGACGGCCCCCGGACGGCCCAGGAGGCGCCCAAGACGGCCCAAGAGGCACCCAAGACGGCCCCAGGAGCGGCCCAAGACGGTCCACGACAGCCCAAGAGGCGCCGAGGCGGGTTCCAGACGGCCCCAAGACGGCCCAAGAGGCACCCAAGACGGCCAGAGAGGGCCCTAAGAGCCCCCCCGGGAGGCCCAAACGAAGGCCGAAGAGGCTCCGAAACGGCCCCCACGAAGCCTTCAGTGGCTTCAGAATTCCCCCCAGGAGCGGGGGAGCGGACGAGAGGCGACAGGCATATCGCAGGCAAAAACGCCCCAAGAGATCCCCAAACGGCCCCCACGAAGCCCTAAGTGGCTTCAGAATTGCTTCCAGAAGGGGGGGAGCGGACGAGAGGCGACCGGCATATCGAAGGCACAAAAGAACAATGTTGGACGCTCCGAGGGCCTTCGATGTTTCTCTGTTGGGGAGAGTCGTCGTAGGATCGACGATTGCCGACCGAGGGCATGGAGAATCCAGCGAAAGAGGAGAAGCAGGTGGAAGAGGAGGAGGAGGAGGAGGAGGCGGAGGAGGAGGAGGGGGAGGAAGCAGCAGGACCTCCGAGCAGCAGCAGCAGCTGATTGCCTTTCGGCCCTGCAGCCGCACCCCCCCGCGCTTGCCCAGAGACCCCTCGCCACATCGAGCTGATGTCGTGGACGGAGTCCACAGGTCTGCCCTAGTCTCTACTACATTGCAGGGCCCAGTGCGTGCCAGAAGGGCGCAGGCCCCAATGCACCGAAACCGCCCCGGGCTGGCCCCGGGCCGCCCCGGGCCGCCCAGGCAGGCTCCAGGACATGTCGAGAGGGCCCCCAGAAGCCCCCAAGACGGCCCTGGAGAGCCCAGGCACGCTTAAAGATGGGCCCAAGACGCCCGAGATTCGCCCCAGACGGCCCAAGAGGCGTCCAAGACGCTCGAAGAGGCCTCCCAAGAGGCCTCCCACGAGGGCCCCGAGCGACAGAAATCGTCGATTTCTATTGTGTTTTTCTATGTTTTCGGCCTCCTCGCCTCTTCGGCTTCCCGACGCTCCAAGACGGCCCAAGAAGTTCCCCCGACCGCTCCAAGACGGCCGAAGAGGACCCCAAGAGAGCCCCAAGACGGGCCAGGAGGGCCCCAAGACGGTCCCAATACGCCCCAGGACGGCCCCAGGACGGCCCAGGAGGCGCCCAAGACGGCCCAAGAGGCACCCAAGACGGCCCCAGGAGCGGCCCAAGACGGCCCAAGACAGCCCAAGAGGCGCCGAGGCGGGCCTCAGACGGCCCCAAGACGGCCCAAGAGGCACCCAAGACGGCCCGAAAGGGCCCTAAGAGCCTTCCCGGGAGGCCCAAAAGAAGGCCGAAGAGGCTCCGAAACGGCCCCCACGAAGCCTTCCAGTGGCTTCAGATTCCCTCCAGGAGCGGGGGAGCGGACGAGAGGCGACAGGCATATCGCAGGCAATAACGCCCCAAGAGATCCCCAAACGGCCCCCACGAAGCCCTAAGTGGCCTCATAATTGCTTCCAGGAGGGGGGGAGCGGACGAGAGGCGACCGGCATATCGAAGGCTCAAAAGAACAATGTTGGACGCTCCGAGGGCCTTCGATGTTTCTCTGTTGGGGAGAGTCGTCGTAGGATCGACGATTGGCGCTACCGTGGCATGAGAATCCGCGAAAAGAGGAGAAGAAGTTTGAAAGAGTAGGAGGAAATGAGGAGGAGGATGGCGGAGGAGGGAGGAGGAGGAGGGGGGGAAGCAGGCAGGAGCCTCCTAGCCCGGGCACAGCAGCGGAGGAACAGCAGGATAGCAGCAGGTCCTGGAGCCCGCGCCCATCATGAATTGCCTTTCGGCCCTGTAGCCGCACCCCCCCCCGCGCTTGCCCAGAGCCCCCTCGCCACGTCGAGCTGATGTCGTGGACGGAGTCCACAGGTCTGCCCTAGTCAGCTACAGCGCTGGGATCAGCGCGTGCGAGAAGGGCGAGCAGTGGCAGCGGGCGCTTGCGCTGCTGAGCGAGTTGCGTGAGGCGAAGCTGGAGTCCAACGCAGCCAGCTACAGCCCTGCGATCGTCGCTCTGCTCCGCAGACGCGATGCGACAGGCTAGTCGGCCACACCGCTGAGGAACAGCGCTTGAGTGAAAGGTGGTCAGTGGCCGCGGGCTCTGGCGCTGTCGAACGAGATTTGGGAGGCGATGTTGGAATCCGGACGTTATCATAACTTTAGCGTTCTGATCACTGGGTGCAACAAAGGACGAGCAGTGGCAGCCGGCGCTTGCGCTGCTGAGCGAGATGCGGGAGGCGAAGCTGGAGCCCGACGTCATCAGCTACAATGCTGGGATCAGCGCGTGCGAGAAGGGCGAGCAGTGGCAGCGAGCGCTGACGTTGCTGAGCGAGATGTGGGAGGCGAAACTGGAACCCGACGTCATCACCTACAGCGCTGGGATCAGCGCGTGCGCGAAGGGCGAACAGTGGCAGCGGGCGCTTGCGCTGCTGAGCGAGATGTGGGAGGCGAAGCTGGAGCCCGACGTCATCAGCTACAGCGCTGGGATCAGCGCGTGCGCGAAGGGCGAGCAGTGGCAGCGGGCGCTGGCGCTGCTGAGCGAGATGTGGGAGGCGAAGCTGGAGCCCGACGTCATCAGCTACAGCGCTGGGATCAGCGCGTGCGCGAAGGGCGAGCAGTGGCAGCGGGCGCTTGCGCTGCTGAGCGAGTTGCGTGAGGCGAAGCTGGAGTCCAACGCAGCCAGCTACAGCCCTGCGATCGTCGCTCTGCTCCGCAGACGCGATGCGACAGGCTAGTCGGCCACACCACTGAGGAACAGCGCTTGAGTGAAAGGTGGTCAGTGGCCGCGGGCTCTGGCGCTGTCGAACGAGATTTGGGAGGCGATGTTGGAATCCGGACGTTATCATAACTTTAGCGTTGTGATCATTGGGTGCAACAAAGGACGAGCAGTGGCAGCCGACGCAGGCGCAGAGCCTTCCAAGACACCTCACCGCCCGACGCCAATATAGGTCTGGAAGCGCGATGCCGCGGCATCCCCCAAAAAAACGAAGCCGAGCGTCGCATCATCATCACCTCCTCTTCTTCCTCCTCCTCCTCCTCCCTCCTCCTCCCTCCTCCTCCTCCTCCTCCTCTTCCTCCTCCTCCTCCTCCTCCTCCTCCCTCCTCCGCCCTCCTCCTCCTCCTCCTCCTCCTCCTCCTCCTCCCCTCCTCGTCCTCCTCCGTCCATCCTCCTCCTCCTCCTCCTCCCTCCTCCTTCGCCTCCTCCTCCTCCTCCTCCTCCCTCCTCCCTCCTCCCTCCTCCATCCCTCCCTCCTCCCTCCTCCCCCCTTCCTCTCCCTCCTCCCTCCTCCCTCCTCCCTCCTCCCGTCCTACCCTCCTCCTCTACCCTCCTCACTCCTCCTCTCCTCCTCTCCTCCCCTCCTCCGTCCTCCTCCTACTCCTCCTCCTCCTCCTCCTCCTCCTCCTCCTCCTCCTCCCCCTCCTCTCCCTCCTCCTCCTCCTCCTCCTCCTCCTTTTCCTCCTCCTCCTCCTCCTCCTCCGCTCCTTCAAGCTCGCGCCACAAGATGACTGCCTGCACGTATAGTGACTTGCGCTGGGCCAGCGTTGCGGCTGGCGCCGTCAGCAGGCTGGTCGTAATGGTTCGTCTGGTGGCCCCCCGAATTGCACGTGCCGACCCCACCGAGCGGCCCTGCCACGAGGCCCAGAGCCGAGCGCACGACTGGATGGCGCCGAATGTCGCTGCAACTTCTGCTGCTGCCGTCAAGGAGCGGGCACCACGTTTACCACAGTGCCTGTGCGCCACATCCGTGGCTGAGGCTCTCGGGGATCCAGCTTCGCGTATCCCCACCAGCCCATCTAAAAGCAATCGCCAGGGGAGTTGCCTTGATCAGAACTGTGTAGCAGCATGCGGCCTCCCAAGGGGGGAGATAGTGCTGTTTAGGGCGAGATGTGGGAGGCGAAGCTGGAGCCCGACGTCATCACCTACAGCGCTGGGATCAGCGCGTGCGAGAAGGGCGAGCAGTGGCAGCGGGCGCTTGCGCTGCTGAGCGAGATGTGGGAGGCGAAGCTGGAGCCCGACGTCATCAGCTACAACGCTGGGATCAGCGCGTGCGAGAAGGGCGAGCAGTGGCAGCGGGCGCTTGCGCTGCTGAGCGAGATGTGGGAGGCGAAGCTGGAGCCCGACGTCATCAGCTACAGCGCTGGGATCAGCGCGTGCGAGAAGGGCGAGCAGTGGCAGCGGGCGCTTGCGCTGCTGAGCGAGATGTGGGAGGCGAAGCTGGAGCCCAACGTCATCAGCTACAGCGCTGGGATCAGCGCATGCGAGAAGGGCGAGCAGTGGCAGCGGGCGCTTGCGCTGCTGAGCGAGATGTGGGAGGCGAAGCTGGAGCCCGACGTCATCAGCTACAGCGCTGGGATCAGCGCGTGCGAGAAGTGCGAGCAGTGGCAGCGGGCGCTTGCGCTGCTGAACGAGATCTGGGAGGCGAAGCTGGAGCCCGACGTCATCTCTACTACATTGCAGGGCCCAGTGCGTGCCAGAAGGGCGCAGGCTCCAATGGGTCAAAACCGCCCCGGGCTGGCCCCGGGCCGCCCCGGGCCGCCCAGGCAGGCTCCAGGACATGTCGAGAGGGCCCCAAGAAGCCCCCCAATACGGCCCCGGAAGCCCCGGCACGCTTTAAAGATGGGCCCAAGACGGGCCCGAGATTCGCCCGCCGCATCGGCCCGAAGAGCGTCCCAAGACGCCCGAAGAGGCCTCCAAGAGGCGCTCCCAAGATGGCCCCGAACGACAGAAATCGAACGATTTTCTACTGTGTTTTTCGATGTTTTTCGGCCCTCCTCCCTCTTCGGCTTCCGACGCTCCAAGACGGCCCAGGAAGCCCCCCCGACCGCTCCAAGACGGCCGAAGAGGACCCCAAGAGAGCCCCAAGACGGGCCAGGAGTGCCCCCAGACGGTCCCAAGACGCCCCAGGACGGCCCCAGGACGGCCCAGGAGGCGCCCAAGACGGCCGAAGAGGCACCCAAGACGACCCCAGGAGCGGCCCAAGACGGCCCACGACAGCCCAAGAGGCACCGAGGCGGGTCTCAGACGGCCCCAAGACGGCCCAAGAGGCACCCAAGACGGCCCGAGAGGACCCTAAGAGCCCCCCGGGAGGCCCAAACGAAGGCCGAAGAGGCTCCGAAACGGCCCCTGCGCACGAAGCCTTCAGTGGCGTCAAATTCCCTCCAGGAGCGGGGAGCGGACGAGCGGCCGACAGCATATCGCAGGGCAAGAAACTCCCAAGAGATCCCCAAACGGCCCCCACGAAGCCCTAAGCGGCCTCAGAATTGCTTCCAGGAGGGGGGGAGCGGACGAGAGGCGACCGGCATATCGCAGGCACAGAAGAACAATGTTGGACGCTCCGAGGGCCTTCGATGTTTCTCTGTTGGGGAGAGTCGTCGTAGGATCGACGATTGCCGACCGAGGGCATGGAGAATCCAGCCAAAGAGGAGAAGAAGGTGGAAGAGGAGGCGGAGGAGAAGGAGGAGGAGGCGGAGGAGGAGGAGGGGGAGGAAGCAGCAGGACCTCCGAGCAGCAGCAGCAGCTGAGGAACACAGGAGAGCAGGAGGTCCTGGAGGGTGTGGAGAGCGCCTTCAACTGGCCATCGTGGTCAGAGACCCCTCGCCACGTCGAGCTGATGTCGTGGACGGAGTCCACAGGTCTGCCCTAGTCAGCTACAACGCTGGGATCAGCGCGTGCGCGAAGGGCGAGCAGTGGCAGCGGGCGCTTGCGCTGCTGAGCGAGATGTGGGAGGCGAAGCTGGAGCCCAACGTCATCTATACTACAATGCAGGGACCCGCGCGTGCGAGAAGGGCGATTCTGGTCAAAAAGCGTAGCAGGCCCAAGACACGCCAAGAGGGCCCCCAGAGGGCCCAAGACGCGCCAAGAGGGCCTCAAGAGGCCCCCAAGACGGCCCCAGAAGGCTCCGGGACGCCCCAAGATGGGCCCAATACGCCGAAGATTGGGCCAAGACGGCCCCAGAGGCGGCCAAAATGCCCCAAGAGGCCTCCCAAGAGGCTTCCCAGCAGGGCCCCGAGCGGGAGAAATCGTCGACTTCCATTGTGTTTTTCGATGTTTCTCGCATTCTCCCCTTTTCGCCGTCCCTGCGCTCCAAGACGGCCCAAGAGGTCCCCAAGACCGCTCCAAGACCACCGACGAGGCCTGCAAGAGGGCTTCAAGACGGGCCAAGAGGGCCCCCAGACGGTCCCAAGACGCCCCAAGACGCCCCAAGACAGCCCAAGACGGCCCCCCAAGACTGCCCCAGAGGGCCCCGGGACGCCCCAAGATATGCCTAAGACGCGCCAAGAGGGCCCCAAGAGGCCCCCAAGACGGCCCCAGAGGGCTCTGGGACGCCCCAAGATGGGTCCGAGACGCCGAAGATTGGGCCAAGACGGCCCCAGAGGCTGCCAAAATGCCCCAAGAGGCCTCCCCAGAGGCTTCCCAGCAGGGCCCCGAGCGGGAGCAATCGTCGATTTCCATTGTGTTTTTCTAGGTTTTTCGCATTCTCCCCTTTTCGCCGTCCCTGCGCTCCAAGACGGCCCAAGAGGTCCCCAAGACCGCTCCAAGACCACCGACGAGGCCCGCAAGAGGGCCTCCAGACGGGCCAAGAGGGCCCCCAGACGGTCCCAAGACGCCCCAAGACAGCCCAAGACGGCCCCAGAGGGCCCCGGGACGCCCCAAGATGGGCCCAAGACGCGCCAAGAGGGCCCCAAGAGGCCCCCAAGGCGGCCCCAGAGGGCTCCGGGACGCCCCAAGATGGACCCGAGAGCCATATTTGACCGTCTTGGCCATTCGCGCCGCTCGGACCCCCGACATCTTGGGCAGCATTCGCTGTCTCACCGCTCTGAACGCCATCTTGAGCCATCTTGGCCATTCGCACCGCTCGGGCGCCCCGACGAATCCACGCTCTCCTCCAGGCATCTTGCCATCACCTCGGAGCCTTCGCCTTCCAGAGCCTCGCGGGCTCAAACGGCCCAGCTGTCAGCCACGCGTGCAACCCACCGGAGCCGTCACGACACGAAAACGTCACCATGCCATGTCAAGTGGCCCCCAAAGGGGTCTGCAGGCATTTTTTCTTAGAAAAATGGTCCGCAGGGCCCTTTGGCGCCCAGAGCGAGCCTACAGTAAGCGATAGTGGCCCTCGGAGGCCCTCTGAGAGCCATCTTGGACCGTCTTGGCCATTCGCGCCGCTCGGACCCCCGACATCTTGGGCAGCATTTGCCGTTCTCACCGCTCTGAACGCCATCTTGAGCCATCTTGGCCATTCGCACCGCTCGGGCGCCCCGTCGAATCCACGCTCTCCTCCAGGCATCTTGCCATCACCTCGGAGCCTTCGCCTTCCAGAGCCTCGCGGGCTCAAACGGCCCAGCTGTCATACATGGCCACGTCCGGTGCCACCCCCCCCAGGAGCCCGTTCCTCTGAGAATCATTCCAGAAAGATATCGTGGACGGAGTCCACGGGTCAGCCCTGGTCAGCTACAGCGCCGCGATCAGCGCGAGCGAGAAGGGCGGGCAGTGGCAGCCAGCGCTGGCGCTGGTGAGCGAGATGCGGGAGGCGAAGCTGGAGCCCGACGTCATCAGCTACAACGCTGGGGTCAGCGCGTGCGAGAAGGGCGGGCAGTGGCAGCCTGCGCTGGCGCTTCTGAACGAGATCTTGGAAGTACAGCTGGAGCCCAACGTCATCAGCTACAGCGCTGGGATCAGCGCTTGCGAGAAGGGCGGGCAATGGCAGCTTGCGCTGGCGCTGCTGAGCGAGATGCGGGAAGCGAAGCTGGAGCCCAACGTCATCTCTCCTACAACGCCAGGACCACCGCTCGTGGATCCCGGAACCGGTGGCAGCGGACTGGCCCCCCCTCGGGCCGATCTGGTCGGCTGGCGGTGCCGCCGTGGTGCCCCAATCGCGCAGCGGACCGTTCAAAACTGCTGAAGGTCGCGGGGGCACGCCCAGCAGACGGCTCCAGGGTAGCACCGGGCGCCCCCAAGCCGCCCCAAGAGGCTCCCAAGAGGACCCCCAAAACGCAAACATCGGTTCACTCCCTCGGGAAAATGTGCATTTTCGACATACTCGCCCTCTGGGTCCGCACAGCTTCCAGATGGCCGAAGCGGCCCCCCAAGACCGCCACAACACGGCCCAAGATGACCCCAAGAGGACTCGGTGGCGATTCGCGGTCCAGCAAGTACCCATACTCAAAGAAGGTGGTCGCCCAGTCGAGCCCGAAAGGCTCCACCGACGCCTGCGACCTCGTGCCGGTGCGCCTCACCCAAACGCGGGGGAGGAGGAGGAGGAGGAGGAGGAGGAGGAGGAGGAGGAGGAGGAGGAGGAGGAGGAGGAAGGCGCTTAGTGCTCGTCCCGGAAGGGGCGGCTGATTAGTATGCTGTCTATGTCTGCTTAGGAAGGAGGAGTGTTCCCGGGCCCTTCATGTCTTCTAGCTTGACGTGCTTAGAGGCGTATTAGGCGTAGGAAGGAGGAGGGGGGGGAAGGGGCAAGTTGAGAGGTGCGCTCGCGTCAACATCTGACATCCTACCCCTCCCTCCCATCCCTTACCATGGCGCTGATTTTCTCTATCCGCGGACACGTGTCGTAGCGGACCTGTGGCTCCGCGCTCGTGTGCGTAGTGGGTGGTGGTGCGCGTGCGTGCGTGCGTGTGTGCGTGGTTGTGGTTGTTGTTGTGGTGGTGGTGGTGGTGTGTATGTGTGTGTGTGTGCGTGTGTGCGCGTGTGCTGTGGTGTGACGTGGTGTGGCGTCTTGGTGGTTTGGTGGTGGGCCAGGTGCGTACGTGCGTGATGGCGGTGGTGGTGGTTGCGATGGTGGTGTGTGCGTGTGTGTGTCTGTGTGTGTGTGTGTGCGTGTGTGTGTGTGTGTGTGTGTGTGTGTGTGTGTGTGTGTGTGTGTGTGTGTGTGTGTGTGTGTGTGTGTGTGTGGGTGTGTGCGTGTGTGCGTGTGTGTGTGTGTGTGTGTGTGTGTGTGTGTGTGTGTGTGTGTGTGTGTGTGTGTGTGTGTTTGGTGTGTGTGTGTGTGTGTGTGTGTGTGTGTGTGTGTGTGTGTGTGTGTGTGTGTGTGTGTGTGTGTGTGTGTGTGTGTGTGTGTGTGTGTGTGTGTGTGTGTGTGTGTGTGTGTGTGTGTGTGTGTGTGTGTGTGTGTGTGTGTGCGTGCGTGCGTGCGTGCGTGCGTGAGTGCGTGCGTGCGTGCGTGCGTGCGTGCGTGCGTGCGTGCGTGTGTGTCTGTGTGTGCGCGCGTGTGATGTGGTGTGACGCGGTGTAGCGTGGTGGTGGTGGGTGGGGTAGTGCGGTGGTGGTGGCGGTGCGCGGTGGTGGTGCGCGTGCGTGCGTGCGTGCGCTGGTGGGTGGAAGTGGCGGTGGGTGTGCGTGCGGCGGGGCGGGGCGTAGTGCGGCGCGGTGGTGGCGGGCGGATGGGCGCGCGAGAAAGAGGCCCGCGCTGGGGCGAGAACGCCATCCTGAACGACGGAGGCAAAACACCGATCCGAAAATGAGGCCCACGCTGCAGCGGGAGCACGATTCGGAACGATTCGGGGGCAGACATAAAACCGGCGCCTCAGCGAGAGCAGCATTTTGACAAAAAAACGCAGGCGAAAACCCAACTCCCGGGAATCCTGTGTGTAAAAAACCAGTACGCGGGGGGGGGTCGGCTACTTTCAGGCCGCCTTCGGGGGAAGAGGGAGAGTAGTATTCATATTGAGTACTATGGGGAGGAGAGGAAGGAGGAGGAGGAGGGAGGAGGAGGAGGTGAGGAGGAGGAATGAGAAGGGGAGGAGGAGGAGGAGGGAGACAGAAGGAGGAGGAGGAGGGCGGCGGAGGAGGGGAGGAGAAGGAGGAGGAGGAGGAGGATGTGAGGGGAGGGCGGGAGGAGGAGAGGGAGGAGGGAGGAGGAGGCGGAGGAGTGAGGAGGAAGGAGGAGGAGGATGAGGAGGATGAGTAGGAGGAGGGGGAGGAGGATGGAGGAAGAGAGGGAGGAGGAGGAGCAGGAGGAGGAGGAGGAGGGGGAGGTGGAGGAGGAGGAGGGGGAGGTGGAGGAGGGGGAGGTAGAAGGCTGCATGGCCAGCAGGCAAACAAATACATGGCGCGCAGGGCAGCGCGCAAAAGCGTGACATCATGCGTAGGCGATTTTTGCACCCCTGCGTGCGAGTCGGCTGTCGTAGACGTAATGTGAAGTCTGGCGTGTTCCTCTACAGAGGAATGTTCAAACATAGTCAAGCAGAAGTCTGGGGACGACTTTTGATGTTCCTCAATGTTTTCAATATGTTTGGACTGCGTTTTATCTTTCAGCCAAAATCCGCCTGTAGCGGGACACGCCCGACCTAAACGTAATGCCATAGGTCAGCCGTAGTCAGCTACACTGCTGCGATCTGCGCGTGTGAGGGGTGCGGCCAGTGGCGGCATGCGCTGTCGCTGCTCAGCGAGATGCGGGAGTACAGTCTGGAGGCGAATGGGATCGTTAGCAATTTGGGCCTTGCAGCGTATGAGAGGTCGTCTCAGACCTCGGCAGGATTCCCAGGCTATCTTGACATCGGTCTTTCGCGTTTTCGAGTGTGCTGCGAAGCGCTGCGCGTGCGGGAATCTGCTGGGCAACCCCTGTGATCAGGTGGACGGACATCCTTCTTTTGAATTTGGCAGCGGTTCTCCATACCGCAGGAAGCCTCGCCTCAGAGACCATTACACAAGCCGGCCGCCCTGACTGGCTACAGCGTTGAGATCAGAACGTGTGAGAGAGTCGAGCAGTGAAAGGCCTGTCGCTGTTCAGCGACATGTTGACTGCGACGCAGGAGCCCGATGTCCACAGCTGCTCAGCGATTTGCGGGATGCGTTGTCGGAGCCCACGGCCATCTGCACTACAGTTCTGGCCGAGGCAAGTGCCCGATATGGAGCGCAGAGTGCCGTAGCTCCTGGCCCCCTGCGCTCCAGGGCACGCCCCGAGCGGCTCGCAAGATACAGTGTCCCGCGCGAGGGACCTGGGTGAGCTCACGACGCTCCACAGATCTAGGCATCCCAGGTGGGGTCGGAGCAGATGGAGTTGGAGGATTGCGCCGCATCGCCGATGCATCGGCGATGCATCGTCGATGACCGAAGCCGCCTATGCATTGCCGATGTCGCCCATGCATCGCCGATGTATCGGTGATGTATCGACGATGCGGCGTAATCCTCCAACCCCATCTGCTCGGACCCCATCCATGAGGCCTTTGAAAGAGCGTCCTACGGCGCCCAACATATACCACGATTGCCCTAAGATGCCGTCAATAAGCCCGAGATGGTCCACAGCCTCGGAGAGTCGAAACTGGTCAAAGCCCATAATGGTCCGTCTGTTTTCAAAACCTTTTCGGGCGTTTGCGGTTTTTCATCGTAAGATGGCTGGGGATTTGCTGCGATTCCAGGGTAGCTTCATGCGCCCCAAAGGGTCGCCCGGCATGGTCCCGGGTGGCTTCCTAGACGGCCCAAAGAAATCTCCCAGGACGGCACTTGGCCGCCCCAACATGCCCCCAGAGGGCTCCCACACTCCCCCGACGCGGTACCCAGAGGCCCCAAGGGACGCCACGATGGCCCCGGGCCGCGGATGCCAAAGAGAGCCTCAGCAACGACCCCGCAGGGCTCGAAGAGGAGACCACGTTGCGGCCGCACGCGTCGAGGCCGCCCCCAGGAGCACCTGCTCCGGGGGCGATCGGGTGCAACAATTGCTCCGCAGGGCCTCCCTGCTCCTCGCTCCTCGCTGCTCCCTCCCCTCCTCGCCCCCCTCCCTGTGCGCTCCTCTCCTCCTCGTCTGCTCGCCTTCGCTTCTCTCTTTCCTCGCTTCTCTGTCTCCTCGCCTTGCGGTCGCTCGGCGGCTTCTTCCTGGGCCGTGTCGCGAGCAGGGCCGTCTTTCCAGATGTTTGTTGTTGGGTGTGCCGTGCCGTGTTGCCGCCAGCGTGCTGCATCGCGATCAGGTCGATCCTCTCACACGCCGTGCCGTGCCGTGTCGTGACGAGCTTGCTCACCCTAGATGTGGAAGTACAGCCGTAGGCTGTGTGCGGTGCGCTTGCCACCCTTGCATGCTGGTCAGCCTGCGTGGACGGCAGCGCACGGGTCAACCCTAGCCAGCTACAGCGCTGGGATCAATGCGCGCGAGAAGTGCGAGCAGAGGCAGCGGGCGCTGGCACTGCTGAGCGAGATGTGTGCAATAAAGCTGGAGCCCGACGTCATCTGTAGTACAATTCCGGCCGAAGCGTGTGCGAGTAGTAGAAGCAGTGGCAGCGCCCTGGGTCGCCCAGAGAGCCCGCGGGCCGCCCGGAGAGCTTCTGGGGCGCTCCTCGACGGCCCCAGGAGGCCCCTGGAGCGCTCGCCGGCGGCTCAAGGACCACGCTCAAGAGGGCCGCAGCCGACCCGACGGGAGCCCCATGACAGCACAAAAAGGCCTCAAAGACGGCCCCCGAGGACTGCGTGCACGTCGCCAAGAGGCAACACTTGTGCGTTCTCCTGAGGTTTCGAGGGTTTTCTTGTTCCCGCCACTTCGGGCGTACAACGGCCCAGGATGGCCTTGGGGGCTTCCCAGATCGCCCCTGCACGGTCCAAGAGGGGCCCCAGGAGGGCCCCCAGACGGCCCAAGAGGGCCCCAAGACGGCCCAAGAGGGCCCCAAGACGGCCCAAGAGGGCCCCAATACGGCCCAAGAGAGCTTCAAGTGACCCCCGAGTCAGCCCCGACCTGGCCCCAGATCCCGCACGAGCGGGCCCAAAGCGACCTCCAAAACGGCCCGAGACCCCCAAGATGGCCCCAAGACGCCCCAAGAAAGGCCCCATATGCTGCCCAAAAGGGCCGAAAGCAACCTCCGAGACGGCCCGAGAGCCCCAAGATGACCCCAAGACCTCCCTGCGCGGCCCCCAACCGAGGCCCGCAAACGTGGCCTCCTTACTCTGACTGTGCCTGAACACCTTTTAGTTTTTGTGAACCGCGCCCAGGCCTGGCGCGATTAGCAAAAACCCATTCCTGTTCACGCTTCCAGGTCAGTGCCCCCGAAGCTCCCCGACTGCTTTCTGGGGTGGCCCTCAGACGTGGCCCCTGAAGCGTCGGCCCCACACGTGGCCAAAGGCGGCCCCCACACAAAGCTTTCGAAGGTCGCTCCTGCCGCCCCAGTAAGCGTGGCCGCCGAACGTCACCCCCACGCGTAGTCCCCAGGCGCCCCCAAACGTGGTCCCCACACACAGCCCCCGACCATTGTCCTCCAACGTAATCGTCACATGTGCCTCTGAAGTGCCCTTACCGTCCGAGCTGTTCAACTTCGACGAACTGGTCACCTACGGTGTGCTAGTCCCAGGCTCAGCACGCCGTGAATTTGATCCACGGGTTGGCACTAATCAGCTACAGACGGCCTCAGCGCTCGAAGACGCCCACGATAGCTTCCACAGGCCCGAGACAGCTCCAAGATGCTCCATCTGGGCTCGAAGCAGCTCTCCAATAGAGCTCGAACGCGGAGACTGATGCCCCAATCCCTCAGAAAAGCGGCAACTTGCGCTCTTCCCCTGTTCGTCGTCTTCAAAGCGTCCGACACTGCCACACAGGCACCCAAGATCGCACAAAGACCCCTCATGTGCCTCCCATCACGGCGTCAAAACGGCCCTGGACGGCTCCAACCACCCCTTCCTTCGTCGAGAAGACGCCGTGGCCGGAGGCCACGGGTCAGCCCTAGTCTTTTCTCTATGGCGGACATCAGCGCGTGCCAGAAGGTCGTGCACCGATGCGTTCCGTGGAGGGCCCTTTTTCGACACCCCTCGCGCAGATCATCCCGGCCCCCGAGCGTCACAAATCGAGCCCTCCCCCCAAAGACGCGCCTAGAGGCCCCCAAAGGGCCCCACACAGCCCCTGGACGGCTCCAGAGGCGCCCGAGACGGCCCAAGACGCACCCAAGACAGCCCCAAGAGCAGCCAAGAATGGCCAACGGGACGGCTCCGAGAGGCTCCAGGGGGCGCCAAGACGGCCTCAGAGCACCCTGGGGAGCCCAAAGGCAGCCCCAGAGGCCTCCAAGGCAGGCCATGAGGCTCCCAAGACGGCCCAGGAGGCCCCCAGAAGAGCCCGAAGAGGCCCAAACCGTCCCATTCCCGACGGGAAACGCACATTTTCGCTATGTTCCGTTTTTTCGTCCTCGCAGCATCCAAGACGGCTATAGAGGCCAAGACGCGCTCAGAGGCACCCAAAGGGCCCCACACGGCCCTGGGACGGCTCCAGAGGCGCCCGAGACGGCCCAGGACGCACCCAAGACAGTCTTAAGAGCAGCCAAGAATGGCCAACGGGACAGTTCCGAGAGGCTCCAGGGGGCGCCAAGACGGCCTCATAGCACCCTTGGGAGCCCCACGACAGCCCCAAAGGCCCCCAAGGCAGGCCAGGAGGCTCCCAAGACGGCCCAGGAGGGCTTCCAGGAGAGCCCCAAGAGGCCCAAACCGTCCCATTCCCAACGGGAAACGCACATGTTCAATATGTCTTGCTTTTTCGTCCTCGCAGCGTCCAGAAGGCTATACAGGCCCCCCAGCTCGCCCCAAGACGCGCCCAAACGCTCCCATGAGGGCGCCCAAAGGGCCACACACTGCCCCCGGACGGCTCCAGAGGCGCCCGAGACCCGAGACAGCCCCAAGAGCAGTTCATAATGGCCCAAGACGGCTCCACCGCCCCGTCTCCAAGACGGCTGTAGAGGCCCCCGCCGCCCCGTCTCCAAGCCTTTCCGTTTGGACAGTCTCCAAGACGGTCTCTGGGCCGTCCGGGACGGCTCCAGAGGCGCCCGAGACGGCTCAACCAAGATGGCCCCAAGATTGTCCCAAGATGGTCCGAGAGGCGCCCAAGACGGCCCCACATCGCCCCAGACGGCCCAAGATGCACTCCAGACTGCCAATGAGGGCTCCGAGAGACCCACCCCCAGGAGGACGAAAAGAGGCCCCCGGGGGCCTTGGATGCTTCTCTCTTGGGGAGCGTCGAACTTCCAGCATCGTTTTGGAGGCTTCTTGGACCCTCTGGGAGCCATCTTTGCGCTATTTGGAGACGTCTTGGGGAGGTGCGATCGAAAAGTCCATTCGTGTCCTCGCACCGGGGCCCTTCTTAGGGAGTGCCGTCTCGCCGCCCTCTTGCGGGCCTCCTAGGCTGCGCCCACTGGCCCCATTGTCACCACACTGCCAGATGAAATTACGCAGCACCCCGCCATTGCGGATAAGAGTGAGGGGCGGGCGCGGGCGACGCGGGCGTCGTCGAGCCGGCGGACCTCGTGGCCCCCACCTTCCCTGTCGATGGCGCTCTCCTCCTCCTCCTCCTCCTCCTCCTCCTCCTCCTCCTCCTCCTCTTCCTCGTCCTCGTCCTCGTCGTCATCGTCATCCTCCTCCTCCACCTCGTCCTCCTCCTCCTCCTCTTCCTCGTCCTCCCTCTCCCCCCCTCGTCCTTCCATCATCGTCCTCCCATTGTCGTCCTCCCCCTCATCGGCCTCCATCATCGTCCTCCCATTGTCGTCCATCATCATCATCCTCCCCCTCCTCCCCCTCCTCCCCCTCCTCGTCCTCCTCCTCCCCCTCCTCCCCCTCCTCTCCTCCTCTTCTCCTCCTCCTCTTTCTCCACATTCTCCTTACATCCTCTCTTCTTCCGCGTCCTCCTCGTCCCCTTTTTACTCCTCCTGCCTCCCCCTCCTTTCCCAAGACAACGGCAACGCAATCCTTTTTTCCACTTTATGCTCCCCGACTTCTCTGATCAAGGTAACTCGCCAGGGCAAAGTTGCTGGACGGGCTGGTGTGGATGCGCGGGGTTTGAAGAGGTCGTTCCGGGCTCAGACGGCATGCAACAATCCGCCGCCGCGCTTGTGCGGCATTGGTTTGTTCAGTGAACGTGGTCGCTGGTGGGTCGCGGGTTCTCCACCTCCACCTGGAAGGGATGCAAAAGCAGCCCGCCGCAGGCGCCGAAGAAATTGATTTGCACACTGAACGTGTTTTGGGTCGCGGGTCGGCCGCGGGTTCCCCACCGGGAACGAATGCAAAAGATGCCCGCCGCAGGCGCAGAAAAAAATGGCGTGTACCCTGAACGTGGTCGCGGGTGGGCCGCGGGCTCTCCACCTGAAACGAATGCAAAAATATGCCCGCCGCAGGCGCCGAACCGTGTGGTTTGTACCCTGAACGTGGTTTGGGTCGCGGATTGGTCGCGAGTTGGTCGCGGGGTGGGCCGCGGGCTCTCCACCTGGAAGGAATGCAAAACAAAACCCGCCGCGGCCGCCGAAAATGGTGGTATGTACCTTGGACGCGGTTTGGGTCGAAGGTGGGTCGCGGGGTGGGTCGCGGGGTCGCGGGTGGGTCGCGGGTGGGTCGCGGGTGGGTCGCGGGTGGGTCGCGGGTGGGTCGCGGGGTGGGCCGCGGGCGGGTCGCGGGGTGGGTCGCGGGTGGGTCGCGGGTGGGTCGCGCGGGGTGGGTCGCGGGGTGGGTCGCGGGGTGGGTCGCGGGTGGGTCCGCGGGGTGGGTCGCGGGCGGGTCGCGGGTGGGTCGCGGGTGGGTCGCGGGGTGGGTCGCGGGTGGGTCGCGGGTGGGTCGCGGGGGGGTTGGGGGGGGGACGACAGCAACAACAACAACAAACAACAACAAACAACAACAACAACAACAACAAACAACAACACGAATCCGCACCGCGGAATACCATGTCAGCCACGCACCCAGGGACAGTGAATGACCGTTCGGCCCCCTCGCTCTGATCATTCGGCCCTGGCGAGGAGCAGATAAACTTCTCACGGCTACCTTCCCCGCAGAAGCTATGATGAGCACAGATTGCGGCGTCAGAAACAGCTTCTGTCCACACCACGTCATGCCTACATGGGTGTGCTTCCACTGACACCGCCTCCACCACCGCGTTCTTGCCTTCAGGCCTGCTTGCCTGCATCCCTCGCCCACCTTCCCCTCCAGCGGCCACCTCCTCCATTCACGCCGTTCCCTCCAACCTCCTTACCCGCGAGGCCCCAAAAACGCTCCACTTCCACGTCCACGCCAGGGCGGGCAAATTCCGCGGCGGGAGGCCGCGGGTCAGCCCTAGTCAGCTACAGCGCTGGGACCAGCGCGTGCGAGAAGGGCAAGCAGTGGCAGCCTGCGCTGACGCTGCTTCGCGAGATGCGGGAGGCGAGGTTGGAGCCCAACGCCATTCTTCTACATTGCAGCGGTCTTTGCGTGCGAGAGTCCTTTGTCCCGAATGGCCGCCCGGGCCTTCCGGGGCGCCCTGCAAGTCCCCTTTGCGGTCCGAGACGGTTCCGGGGGGTCCCAAGATGCCCCAAGACGGCCCCAAGACGGTTCAGAGACGCTCAAGAGGGGGCCCGAACGCCCCAAGAAGACCCCAAGCGAGTCCCAGGATGGCCCCAGAGGCTTCCAAGGCAGACCAGGAGGCCCCCGAGATGCCCCCCCCCCCGCCCAGGAGAGCCCCAAAAGGCAAAATCGCCCGACTCCCTTTTGTCCTGTGTCCGTTGTTTTCGTCTGCGCGGTCTCCAGGACGGTACAGGCCCCCAAGATCGCCCCCAAACCCTCCCCAGACGCCCCCAGGAGGGCCTCTGAATTGACCGAAACGGCCCCAGGACGGCTCCAGAGGCGCCCAGGACGGCCCAAGAGGCACCCAAGACAGCCACAAGAGCGCCCAATGACGGACCAAGATGGCCCAAAGACAGCCCCAAGATGGCCCCACAGGCGCTCAAGAAGGCCCCAGATCGCCCCAATACGGCCTAAGAGGCACCCGAGACGGCCCAAGAGGCACCCAAGACGGCCCAAAAGGGCCCCGAGAGGCCCCCAGAAGGACGTAAAGAGACTCCCAAACGGCCCCCCAGAGGCCTTGGATGCTTTTCTCTTGGGGAGCGTCGACGATTGACGATCGAAGATCGACGGGATGAAGGATCGAGAGGAGGAGGAGGAGGAGGAGGAGGAGGAGGAGGAGGAGGAGGAGGAGGAGGAGGAGGAGGAAGAGGAGGAGGAGGAGGAGGAGGAGGAGGAGGAGGAGGAGGAGGAGGAGGAGGAGGAGGCCCAAAATTGCCCCCAAAGCCGGTAGAAACCACCGATATGTCCCGAGCATGACCCGAAGGAGGCCCGAAGAGGGTCCAGACACACCGAGACGGCTCCTGATGAAGATCGACGGGATGAAGGATCCAGGGGAGGACGAGGAGGGCGCCCAAAATGGCCCAAACGCCGATGGGAGCCGCAGAGATGTCCCGAGCATGCCCCGAATAAGGCCCCAAGAGTGTCCAGACACCCCGAGAATGCTCCTGACGCTCAGCCCAAGTGAAACCAAATGGACAGTGACTCCAGCGTCCTATCGGTGATCTTCCCGTGCACCGGGCGCCTGAGCGGCCCCAGTGCGGAGTCCACAACAGGGCGGGTAGATTCCGCTGCCAGAAGGCCGTGGGTCAGTCCTAGTCTCTACTACATTGCAGGGGCCAGTGCATGCGGAAAGGACGGGGGTCCGATACGCTTTTTCGGTGCTCCGGCGGCCCCTAACTCCCAAAAAGCCCCCCAGAGGCTCCCAGGCGGCCTCCGGTTGAAGTCCCAGGAATGGTGTCCTGGCACAGCTCAGGACCGTCAGGACGTACCAATCAGGGTGACTCGTGGCGTTGAAGTCTCAGAATGGTGTTTTTGCACGCATCAGGATGTTCACACGGTTGTCCCCCAACGGGGCATTCTTCTCAGTGGAAATGAACCGTGGTAGGGGCCCATGAAAAGGGGGAGTTCGGAGGGAGGGCGTCTTCCAACATCGTTGATGAGCCTTGCGTTAACATTGATCCTTCTCCTCCTCTTCTTCCTCTTCCTGCTCCTCCTCCTTTTTAGTGCTTCGAGAGGAGGAGGGAGAGGACCAGTTTGAACCCAAGATTCAGGAACGACATTGCAGTACACACTCCCTGCACATTCCCTCTTCGTAGGTCCCTACACGGAATTAATTTTCATTGGGGGATTGCCCCGTTGGGCGGCAACCGTTAAAAATTCCCGAATTGTGCCAGAAAGCCGTTCGCGCGACACCAACGCCGCGAGCCACCGACATTGTGCCTTGCTGACGATCCTGAATCGTGCCAGAACATCCGTCCTGGGATGTCAAATCCGCGAAGCAACGTGACTGCTGCACCCTCGCATTCCGACATCGTGCCAGAACACCATTTCTGGGACGTTCACCATGGAGTTCTTTGAAACTCCCGCAAGCTCTTAAGACGAATTTGCGCTGCGACAGCCACATGTTGAAAATTGGCCGCCCTCCAACCGTGAAGCAGATACCATTTTCAAAAGACGAATGCGAGGGGTGCGAAGGCGAGAGCCACATTTTGAAAATGGCCCGCCCTCCATGTGTGAAGCTCTTGCAAATTATACGCTTCAGGAGCAGAAGTGGTTAGGAAGTCTCAGGCGAAACGCCTGCCTGCCCGTTCGACTGGCACCGGGGTGCGACAGGGAGGAGTTATTTATAAAGAGAAGGGATGGATGATGATGATGATGATGCTGATGATGAGGATGAGGATGATGCTGATGATGAGGATGATGCTGCTGATGATGAGGAGGAGGAGGAGGAGGAGGAGAATGAGGAGGAGGAGGAGGAGGAGGACGAGGAGGAGGAGGAGGAGGAGGAGGAGTCCTCGCGAGGGGGAGGCCTCGAGACTCGAGGGCCCCCCCCTGGCGAGGCCCCCGTCGCGGGGCCCCCCTCGCGAGCCCGACCCCTCCCCCTTCGGGCGCCGGAGCCGGGAGCCGCACCGCTTCTGCCGCCGGCGCGGGGGCGCCCTCCTCGCGGGCGAGGGCGCTGTCGGCGGGCGGTCCGGCCAACGGTGGGCAGAGGCAGAGTCAGCCACGCGCAGAGGGGGGGCGGCGGGGCGGTGGTAACTGCACGAGGGACAGAAGCTCCGAGCGGAGCAACACGCACCACGACCGCGACGACGCCGACCACGACCCACGAAGGATAGGCGAGGCGCGCAGACGAGTCGGGTGGCCCCAACGAGGGGGCGGCAGTGGCAGTGCCGAAACGCGCCCAGGGTCCAACAAGGCAGGAGGGTGCAAAGTCAGACTTTTCTGGCTCAGGGTGGGGAGGGCTTCTCAGAAACACCCCAACTTCGTAGAAGGCGCGGGCCTTATGTACGCCTTCAGAGGCGAGACCGACCCTTTCTGAGGAACAGCCTCCTTCTAAGAAGTTCCCCCCCTCCTTCAACCCCCTCTTGCGGGCCGCCGACAGTGAGCACGTTTGCAACCTCGAGCGCGCCGAGATCGATGCACCAGGAGAGAGTTGTATAGTCGACCGGCTGGTCTCGCACTGCAGCTGCTGATGCACGTCGAGCTGCACTTCGCCTCGAGGACCTGGCGCCCGGTGCTTCCCCGATCGAGCGAGGCCCGAGGCTCCTGGCCCGGGGCCACCCAGCGGCCGCGCAGGGGGAATGGGGGCGCGAGGTAAGGCCTCCCGCGGACGCCAGATCCGGGCCACATACTTGCCTACCGTCGCTGACAGATCGCCGGCGGAGCCCGGCCCCACCCAGACCTCCTCGCGGCGTGAAAGGCTCACGTCTGGAGGTTGCTTGCTTCTCTCGGGCTCTGGGTGCTCTGGGTGCCCTCGCCCCGGGGCCGTCAGATGACGATTCGGTCGGATAAACGTGTCCTGGGGAATGGGTGGAGACCTCTGGGGGTTCACGTTATGACAAGATCATGACGTTGGGTGTCTGGGCATGCCTTCTCGATCCGATCTGAGCCCAGACCGTTAGTCCTTGGTCCCGACCCCTTCCACGGGACCAGCTGTTCGTCCTGCCTGTCGGCCCGTCCTGTGGCCAAGCAGTGGCCCCCAGGGATCGAAGGTGTCCAGAGACCTTCTGTTGTCTTTTTCAGCGCGGGATGGATCGAGAAACGGGCGGGGCAGAGAAAACGGAAGTCCAGCTGAATGCCTCTCAGCCGTGCCGTGTTTGGCAACTACGCTGCCCACTGGATGTGCTGCCAGTCTCACACAGCGTGCTCCTTCTCTTCTGCATGTTGCTGGGCTCCAGCAACAGTTTCCTCTCTGAGATGACCTTGAGATGACCCTGAGATGACCCCGCATTGTCGGAGTATGGCTTCAGGACGGCCCCAGCGCAGCAGGCGTCCTTGAACTCATGGGCCCGATCGCACGCCGAGCCGATCCCAGCACGGCGGGATCCGTGAACGACCCGCGATTTGGGCTTCCCTTATTTTGATGGGTGGGATCTTGACCGGGCTGAACGAAATTTATTTCATTCGGGAGCCTTGAGACGGGGGTCAATGCAAACGGGGGTCAGCCAGAGCGCCCGATGTTGCAGGATCCTGCAGGGGCAGGGTCGCATGGACCCGGGCTTGGGTGCAGGATATTGCAGGACCCTTCGCATTGACCCAGGTGTGGTTGCAGGATCTTGCAGGATCTTGCAGGACTCTGCAAGGGCAGACGGACCCGGGTCTGGAATGACCTGGGTCAGAAAATTTCCAAAAAATGGAAGAGGACAAAGCTAGGCGGGATCCCGCCCAGCCCACTGCAGAATACTACACTGCTAGGCTTCTACGGGGATAGGGGGTTCGGAGAGGACGTCATCTGTTCCCGCTGCACTCTGCAAGCCTTCCGCCTCGTTCTACTTCCGCCAACTTCCGCGGACGTCAATTACTTTCGTTGTCTTCTGCATGCCTTCCGCCATCTTCCGCCTCGTTCTACTTCCGTCGACTTCCGCTGGTGATCGTCGTGGCAGAATTCAGAGAACTCTCAGTGGGCCGATGCATAGCATGGTGGGGTCCCCTTCCCATCAGTTGGGAAGCTGGCGGTTTCCATCATCCAGGTTTGAGACTGATCTTGATTGGTCTGGAAATAACCTGGGTTATCGAGCCCGCCCAGCCGCCCTCTCCCCCAAGATAATTTGACCTTGTCGGTTGCGCAGGTCCCTAGTGGGTACGCAGTGTTGATGCGCGCGGGCATACATGGGGCTGCCCGATGCGAAAAGGTTAGGTTCTGGGCCGGCACCTCCCCCCTCGCACCAAACAGCCTGGGCTCTGGCCGAAAACTACTAACCGATCCCCTCTCGTCCCAGTCGGGAAGCTGGCGGTTCCCATCATCGGGGCCTGACCGTGGCAGAAACAGCACCAGTGCGTCTGAGTTGTCTCTCGTTCTCTGCGGCGACAGCCGGCCAAGCCCTCCTGGGCGAGCGCCCGAGAGGCCAGTCCTTCGCCTACGGCGTGAGCAGCCAGTGGCTGGCGCTCTCTATGAGCTCGGGGAGCCCACAGAGGGGCGCGGCCGAGCTGAAGCAGCGGGAGGGGCTCCTCCGCGCGGCTCGCTTTTTTTTAGGCCTACCCGATGAGTTCGGAATAGATGGGGTTGGAGGATCGCGCCGCCTCGCCTATGCGTCGGCGATGCGGCTCGATGTGGGCCCAAGTTTTCTTCGCGCCGATGGCGCGGATGCATCACCGACGTCTCGGATGCGTCGCCGATGCCTCGGCGATGCATCCGCGATGCGGCGCGATCCTCGGACCCCATCTATTCGGACCTCGATTTGGGAGTCCTCCATTTCTGTTCCTGGGATCGGTGGTTCAAAGATGATGTCCCGAGGCATGGGGCCCTCAGGATGGGAACCTCAGCAAATGGCGGTTCGCCTTGTGGTGCATTTCTTGTCCTCTGAGCCCCATCCCTCACGGCCCCATCTTTGAACCGCCGACGGGAGGAGGAGGAGGAGGAGGAGGAGGAGGAGGAGGAGGAGGAGGAAGAGAGGGAGGAGGAGAAGGAGGAGGAGGAGGAGGAGGAGGAGAAGGAGGAGGAGGGAAGTTGCCTGACTCGTTGTTCATGTTTCTGTCAGTTTGGGGAGGTTTTCGGCAGCAGGGGTGGTTCCGCCTCGTCACGGGCGCTCTAGGGAGGCCGGGATCGTCCCGGTCCCGGACGGCCGCCTGAGGCCCGGAGGAGTCCGAGACGGTCGGAGGACGCCACGAAGGGGGGGGGTCATTGTGGAAGGGGTTCCTTGAGCTTTTTCGTAGTGGTCGGTCGGGCTTCCGGGCGCCCACGGTCGCAGGGACCGTGAGGGAGCAACTGGGGGCGAAGAGCTGGTCCTGAGGGGCAGACCCCGGGGTGCAGGGAGCTGTTTGCCTTGGGACCCCTTTCCGTCAGGCCAACTTTGTGGGAGGAGGGAGAGGGGGAGCAGGAGGAGGAGGAGGAGAAGGAGGAGCAGAAATCCCGAGGGCGGAGATCTTCTGGCTTTGGGGAATCATTTTTGGAGCATCGGTGGGGCTTCTCGATGCCACGGCTGGATCCGCTTGGACGTTTTGATGATGCGCGCCCCAGGACACATCCAGGGGCCAGTTATTTTCGGGGCGGGGGGATCAGTATGACGACGAAGGGAGACAGTTCGAGGGCCGCTCTTTTGAGGCTTGGAGCGATGATGAGTATGGAGGAGGCAGAAGAAGGAGGAGCGGGACAAGGAGGCTCGGACGGTATATGGGATAGGTCGCGTTCGCTCTGGGCTCTGGCCGGGCGACGTCGGACGCCACCTAACCTCTAACCACCTGGCCCATCATGGCCTGGCCCACGATGGGCTTCGGATCGGACTGGCACGGATCGGTGGGGTGGTCAGTTGACGTCGCCCGATCCGGTTCTGCCCGCGGGAGGAGGCAGCTTCCTCGCGGAGCCTCCGAACTTCTATGCTTGTGCAGCGTTGTGCCTTTCCGGTTTCGAACCTTCGGGTTCAGGCCACGGGCCCCGAACTGCAGCATGCTGGCAGCCGGACGCCCAGGCCTAGCCTTCTGGTTTTCGGCCGTGCTTGTGCAGGGCACAGCCACTGAGCTCTCAGCATGCTGCTCGATGTCGGCCGCCGCGTATGCGCGGAGGCGCTGCCACGGCGCCGTTCCTGCGCTGCCTCCCGCATTGGCACCGCGGTGGGGTTCAGAGTGGCCGTGGCGTGAGGTGGCGTTGGCGCGTTCCACGCAGATCGCCGCTGCAGAAGCTGCTCGGCTGTGGCCCGTGTCGGCGCCGCTTTACTTTGCATCTTCGGGTGATCTTACCTGTCCTGTAGTTGGCGGTCTTTCTTGTACTCCGATGTGGGATCGCTTCGAATTTGCAATGGGCTCGGCGTAGAGTCGTCGCGAACTCGGCGTGGATTCGACTCAGACTCGACGCGTCCGGCATGAATTCGACACGGACTCGGCGCAGATGGCGTCGCGATGGGACAGACAAGGTCCCGCGAAGATGCAACAGAAGCTGCTGCGCTTTTGTGGCGCAAGTCTGATCTGCCTTTGGAGGGCCGCCCCCGTCGCGCCACTCCCCCCTTCGGGCGCCGCCAGTCTGATCTCGTGTTTCAGGCAGGGCGCGCGCGTCGCAGAGCGCCGCGAGAGTGGATGGGGCGTGGGGTTCGGCCGCGTGGTGGGCAGGCCAGTGTGCGTGTCCAGGCAGAGGCCTGCCGTGCCGAATGGAAGACGCATCTCCAAGGGCCAGCACGTCAATGCTTAGATTCGCGCGTTCAAAATACATTCACTTATTTCCTGACACGGACCATATATACATACATGCATACAGATACACTCAACAGCTCGTCAGCATCACCGTCCACGAACTTCCATTGTAATGAACAGCCAAGACGGAGGTATCTCTCAATGCTTTTGCGTTTGGGGGTTCTTGGGAGACAATCAAGACATTGGACGACTGGGTAAGAACCATCCAAGCCCTTGCTGGGGCAGGGTCAGGTGGCTTTCCCAGCATACCTCACGTGGTGGGGATGGATGCCGCGAAGCTCCAAGGAGGCGGCACCATCCACACCCAGGAGGGGCAGGTCGGCTGTTGGGCCGAGGTTTCAGTAGTGGGGTGGGAATGGCCTTCTTTGTTGCGTTTTTCTTGCCACGTTGGATGTTGTGATGTGTTGGGAGGTGTCCTTGAGCTGTTCGGATCGCAGCGCGTTCTCATAGTGTGTTCGTGTGTGTGGCATGTTCTCGGTGGCTTGGCCTGTCCTGGGCATGTCGTACGGTAGCATCATTTGTTCGGAGGCCCAGCGGTTCTTCAGGACCCATCAAGAGCGCCTTGTCAGTTTCCCACCCCTCCCCGAGTACAAGTAAGCGGGAGCTGCGTGCATTGCGCGCAGTTTACGCACAGTTTACTCGACAGCCTTCAGGGTACCTTCCCCAGGCTTCTCGACAGCAGCTTCCCCGCAACAGTACAGGAGCCGCAGGCGTTCCTGCCCGTGCACAAGCTTCCCGTTCCTCTGCTCTCCCTCCCTCTTCCTCTGCTCTGCAAAAATCTCTCTCTCTCTCTCTCTCTGCCGTAGCTGGCGGCCTGGCGCGAAGTGTTTTTTTACCGCAGCGCCAGCCAGGTTCCTGAACGGCGTGAGTTGGTCGCTGTTCGAAGAGACCCTGGTGTCGGCCGGCATGTTGAAGGGGCCGCCGGTGCCCTTGCCTCTTCTTTTTCGCAGTCGAGTGGCGGGATCGGCGTTGCTTTCCTCCCATTGGAGAGTGTTTCTTTACCCCCTGGGCCATAAGGTTCAACATGCTCCCCCCTTTCCCGCCCACCCCTCTCACCCATCCCTTAACGTAACTCTCCTCCCCGCCCAGTGCGTCCCCAGCTCTGCCGCAGAGCGTCCAGAACCACAGTCTGTTACGTGGGGGGCGCGGGCGTCATGTTCTGCCTCCCACCCCGCCCCCGCCCGCCCCGCCGTCCGCCCCCCCCCCCCCCCCCCCCCCCCCCCCCCCCCCCCCCCCCTTCTCCCTCCAATAACGCCTGCTATCGCAGCGAATAAAAAGTATTCCCTGGCCTCCAGAGGCACTAACACACCTCCACGGACCTCCCCAAGAATCCTGAAGGCTCCCCGGCGACCTCCAGGAAGCCACACAGAGCCCCTTGTATATCATTTTTCTTTCTCCCTAACGATCTGCCTCCCGTTCTGCCACCTAGTGGCCCGATTGCCCCGCATTCGGGACGCTCCAACCCACCCATCAAACAGCAGCACGAAGTTGACCTTTCCCCCCATGAGCATGGACGCTCTGCCGACGGCGTTGCAGTCAGGCCTGGCAAGAGTGGGGCGCGGTGCACATCGCGTGCTAAGGGGCGCAGTGCCCCTCTCGCTCCAGCGCCGCGCTCACCTGCTCCACAGCAGTCAGCTCCCGCGTGGGCGCGGCGCACACGCCTGCGCTCGCCCCCCTTCGTCGAAGCGCGAGAGGTCGCGCGCGGGCGGGCACAGCGTCGCTCGCCCGTCGGGGCCGCGCAGGCGTCGCCCGAGAGGTGGCGTTCCCGCAGGGGGGGCGCGGGGCGCACGTGCTTTTGTCACTCGCCGAGGCGTTGGGCGCGCGGCCGCGCGCAAGCTCGGAGGAGGAACAGGTGCCCACCCCGCTACCCTTACATCGGGCACGTCCCTCGACAGGAAGATCAAAACACAGCAAAACAAATAGTCTTGGACGATGCTTTTTAGTATTTCCGAGCATTTGGGGAGTATTTCTGGTGTTTTTGATATAAAGAAGTCGCCCAAAATCCTTCTGTAGGGGGACATGCCCGACCCAACGCTACCCTCCCCCCGTTCCCTCCTTTGGGGGCCTCCTGGGCGGCCCTTGTCGCCACAGCTAAGTTCGCCTCGAGATCCTGGTCAGAGGGAGCAGCGGCATCGGCACCACTCGGTTTCCCCACGGGCAGGCGCATGGTCGTCCGGCTTCTCAGCCCCGGGCAGACTGTTCCTGCAAGTGGCGCTCCCGCTGTTGCGCGGCGCAGGCTCTTCGTCCGACGGGTGGCAGAAGAAGCGGCAGCGAACACGGGGCCGCCCGAGAGCGGGCTGAGTATACTTCTTTTGCGTAGGCGCCGCACAGATGTTGCCTGAGAGCGACAGCGTTGCTGGGCTCGGCGCGTCCTTTGTCGTCGCTGCGCGCGCGAGGGAAGGCTGAAACAGTACTCTCGCCACGGCGCCGCGCAAGGATTTCAGGCACATTCCGCCAGCGCCCGTGCGCGTCATGTTTGTTATGTTATTTGCTGCTCCTCCTCCTCCTCCTTCGCCCCTTCTCGTCCCTCGTCCCTCGTCCCCCCCTTCTCTCGTCAGTGTCGAAGCTCGCCCTCACCTTCGCCCTCCCTGGTCGCCGACATCCCCTCCTCTCCTCCCCCCCGTCCTCCTCTCCCGGCAGGGTAAGGAGGAGGGGGGAGGGGAGGGGGAGGGCGAGGGGAACAATAACAGGAGGAGGAGGAGGAGAAGGAGGAGGAGAAATACAAACTAGGAGGAGGAAGAAGAATGAGCACACAGGGGGAAGTACTGCGAGAGGGGTCCAAGCAGCGGCGGCGGGCTCCTGGACTCAGGGGCATACCTCACTCCCCTCCCCCTTGAGCGCGAGCACGTTGGGCACCAGGCTCCTTGAGCGCGACCGGGTAGGGCCCATTCCGATGCGAGTTGATGTCGATCCTGGCCCGCCCGCTCTGGTTCGGTTCCGATGTTCCGACGATCCGATGCTGGCTCCGTGCTAGTGCTCAGCATCGTTTAACATACCCCCATCGCCATTGGGCTTGTATCGTAGCCGCATCGACCGCCCCCCCCTCCCAGGTGGGGATAGGCCCTTCGAAATCCGAAGGGATCAGCCTGCATCCGCATCCAGGGGGGGAAATCGGCCTGCGGTGCGGGCCAAGGCCATGCCAGTGGGGATGGGGATCGGTTACGATCGGGGACGTCGGCTTAGCGTGTCGTTCCGCCGGTTCTGGCCCCCCGCGCTTCGGCGCGACGCGCTATCGACGTCCCAGCCCACGAGCTTCCACGTCCCGATCTGTTCCCTGGCCTCCTGCCCCGCGGAGCGGAGCGACACGCCGTCCGCTTGCAGGGCGGAGCCCGTTGCCAAGGCCACCACCGCACCACGCCCAGCACAAGTTGCTGACCGTAAGCGATGTTCAAGTGCGGCCCGAGACGGCGCACGTCCCGATCCGATCTGGTCTCCCGGTGCGATGCTGGCTGATCCTGCCAGGGCCGAAGCCCGCCGCGCAGGTGGGCGCGTGCGGCGGCCGCGCCGATTCGTCCCTCCTGCTGCTGCCCTTTCTCCTCATCCACGCCTTTGCTCTCCTCCGTGCCGCTCCCCCTCCTCCCCCACTCCCCTCCACTCTCCCTGCCCTGCTCTTTGCCCTCCTGCTCCGCCTTCCCCTCCGTCCTCCCCTCCTATCCTTTCCGCCCTGCCCTCCCACCCCGTCCGTCCTCCCCCTTCGGGCTCCATAGCCCCCTGCCGTTCGGGCAGTGCCAAGGGGGTCACCACCAGGGGTGCCGCCGGCTGCTCCCGAGGATCGAGGCTCGAGGATCGATGTTCCAGAGCATCCACTTGCGGTGTCCACTGCCCTGTTGCGTGCACCGACGGGGTCAGCTGCCAGCGTGAAGGTCCGAGGTGGAGGCTGGAATCGGAGAGATCCAGTTGGTTCCTGTCGTGTCGAAGCGGGTACTGGTTTCTGACACCGCGAAGTGGGCTCCGGAGTGTCCTGGGGGGCCCCATTTTCTGTGGCGCTCCCGCGATGGAGCGGCGAGCCCCCAATAGTGGTGACCCACCTTGGAGCTACCCGGTCCATCGCTCGGCCGATCCCTCCTTGCCTTCCTTGCCTGCGTGCCCGGACCTGCAACGCATTGACTACATATATGGCGAAGGTTTTTCGATGTTGTCGGCCTCTGGGGGCCTTCGCTGGGCCCTGGGGCTGTCCACGAAAAGATACATAGCACGCCGCAGTCGCGGATGAGAGTGAGGGGGCGGCGGGGACGTCTGCAGTCTGCGAGGCTCGGAAGCAGCCCGCCGCAAGCGCCTAATCTTCACAAGGTATACAACGAGCCCGCCGCAGGCGCCAGCTCGCGCTAAAGCAATGTGAGTGGGTCGCGGGGTGGTTCGCGGGTGTTTCGCGGGTGGGTCGCGGGTTGGGTCGCGGGTGGGTTGCGGGCCTGTCGCGGGGGGGACGACGCAACAACAAGCAGAATCTCCGCCGTGGATCCCCATTTCAGCCACGCACCCAGGGACAGTGAATGACCATTCGGCCCCCTCGCTCTGACTAGGGATCAGCACATCGTCTCAGGGATGGGGTCGGGAGTTCTGGGACTGCTCTTTGAAAAGATCAAACGCGGGATGTCTGAGCATTTTTCTTCCCCTCCCCGTGACGAAGGCTGGGGCGAGGGCTACTGATGGCGAAAGCCTTTTTGACAGTGCTGGCAGCAGCGACAGCAACAGGAGGACGCTTGGGACTACTTACAACAAGGCCCGCGCTGTCGTCAGTAAGGAGGATGAGGAGGAGGTGCAGGAGGAGGAGGAGGAGGAGGAGGAAGAGGAGCAGGAGGCGGAGGAGGAGGTCGTCAGTAAGGAGGATGAGGAGGAGGAGGAGCAGGAGGAAGAGGAGGAGGAGGAGGAGGAGGAAGAGGAGGAGGAGGAGTAGGAGAGGAGGACCCAGAGAGGAGGACCCAGATGTGCGATTTCCTGATTTGTTCAGTGCGGTGTGCGCCAGAGTCCCGACCAATTCCCCAGGGCCAGTTTTCATCCCGAGCCGTTTCTGACGACCCCAAGGCCCCGCGAGGGCCCCCAGGGGCCGAAATCGGCTGAAAATCTACCGTCGTGTTTTTGTACGTCGCGAGTATGTTTGGGGAGGAGGAGGAGGAGGAGGAGGAGGAGGAGGAGGAGGAGGAGGAGGAGGAGGAGGTCCGAGGAGGAGCAGCATTGCCTCCTCTTTCTCGTGGTCCTCTCCTTCTCGCCCGTCCCCTTCCCCTCCCCCCCGCGGCCCCTGCAGGAGCACCGTGCGCACGACGAAGGGCGCGTGCTGGCGATGCTGGTGCTGACGGCGATCCACGATATCATGAAGGCCCGCGCCCCTCCCTCCCCAGCGACGAGAAGGAACATACGGTCGGGAACTTTGGCTTAGCATGTCGCGCCGCTGGCTCTTGCCCGCCACGCTTCGGCGCGACACGCTATCCGCGACCCGGTGTCTGAGCGTAGATGTCCCGACCCTGTCCCGGCTGCCTGCCCCGCGGAGCGGAGCGACACTCGCTCCGTTTGCCAACCGTTCCTGGCACAGCTTCCGGTCGGGAGCTCTGGCTCCGCGTGCCGTCCCGCCGGGGTTGGCCCGCCACCCTTCGGCGCGACATGCCGCCCACGTCCGCGTCCCCAGGCGTCAGTGCCCCCAGCCGTTGGAAGCCTCCCGCCCCGCGCAGCGGAGCGGCATGCTGTCTGCTCGCAGGGCGTAGCGTGCCGCTGGCGCCGCCGCCCCGACACGCGAAGCAGAAGTTCCTCACGGTATGCCCTTCGGTCCGTGCGCTGCAGATTTTTCGCACCGGTCGTTTTCGCCTAGCCCTGGGCCCCAGGACCATCATAGATCGAGCGTGCTCGAGAAAGATGGGGTCCGGGGCTCTGGTCGTGTTTTTGTTCGCTGGCGGTCGTCCGCGACATAATGAGGGCCCGCGCTCCTCCCCGCAGGCGACGAGAGCCCAGACCTCCAACGCATTGACAACCTCAACATGGATTTGTTACTGTTTTCTGTCTCTGGGTGCCCTCGCCGAAGAAGGGGTTGGGCCTTCCAGGGACCAAGCGTTGAACACATGGAATCAACTAAGGCATCGGATGTCGGCAGAGGAGCGGGGAGATATGCTCAAGGGAGGGAGGAGGGAGGAGGGGAGGAAGGAGGGAACGTTTCGTGTTTGAGATTCGAGGTATTCGGGCGTTCGCGGCGGTCTTCCAGCCTCGGGATGTCCTCCAGTAGCTGCGCCTCGCCGAGGGCGTTCTGGAAAGGCCTAGATTATCCCGAACGGCTTCTGAAGCGCTGAGTTATGGCCTGAAAGCGAGAAGGCAACGACATGGGGGATAAGCCCAGGGGGGGCATCGACACTAGGTCGCCCATCCATCGCGGATCTGGGCCTAGACTACCTTACCCTGCTTCAGAACGTGCGGTTTCGGCATCGGGGGCTTATCGCCGATCTATTCCCCTCCCTCTGTCCTTCTTTTCTCATGTTTCTGCTTTTTCTAAATCCAGACGGTCGCGCGCGCGTGCGCGCCTCGTCGCTCGTCGTCGTCTTCTTTGTCGTCGTCGTCGTCGTCGTCATCGTCGTCGTCGTCGTCATCGTCGTCGTCGTCGTCGACGGCGGCGTCGTCGGCGTCGTCGTCGGCGGCGTTTTCGTCGCTCGACGTCGGCGTCTTCGCTGTTGTCGTCGTCGTCGTCGCCGTCGCTGTCATATTTAAAGGCTGCCGCCTCTGCCGCCGACCCCAAAGAAGGCTTTCGAGTTGTTCAGTGGCGTTTCTGGGTGGCTTCGGGCTCTTCGGTTCTCAGGAAAAACCGGAGCTTGCTCAAGTGAGCGCGAGCGCAATTAGCGTTGCATTGCATGTTTCTGCGTTCGCTGCTGTTGCTGCCTGTCTGTTTTCGCATTTCGAGTTTCGACACGCACCCTCTCGCGCGGCTTGTGCCCTATAGGAGGTTCCATCCAAGAAGCTCCCAGATAGTGTCCAAAAGGCTTCCTTAGACATCGTAGCACATTTGGTTGATTTTTGCAGGCGTTTTGACGATTTTTGTTTTAGTTTGTAGAATGTTGTTTTAGTTTGCCGATTGTTGTTTTAGTTCGTAGACTTTTGCGTTAGTTTATCGATTTGTGTTTTAGTTCGTCGGTTGTTGTCGCCCTCTTGTCTAGGCACCGGGGAAAGGGGGCAGGGGGAGGCGATTCCGAAGTATGTCGTGAGGCCTGTTTGTGAACGTGGCGTGATTTAGAAGGGATTATGGCGTCGGGGGTGCGACTATCGAGTAATTTACGAGGGGTCGTGGTCTCTGAGACGCGAATCTTGAGTAATGTACGCGGGATTGTGGCCTCGGGGACGCCCAAGAGTCGCCCAAGAAGGCCCAGAAGGGCCTCAAGACAGCCCCAACGCGGGCCCAAGAGGGGGAGCCCGAACCGCAAATTCGAGTCTGCCGCCCCAAAAAGCTCCCAAGAGGCCCCAAGAAGCCCCCAAGAGGCTCCCAAGAGGGCCGAAGAGGCACCCAAAAGAGGCCCAAAAGAGGCCCCCAAACGGCCCCAAGGGGGTGTCGACATTGCTTCCAAGAGGCCCACGAGAAGCGCCCAATGCGGCTTCGGAGGCCACCAAACGTGGCTCCGACACGGAACCCGAAGCCTCAGAGGGGTTTCCAAGACGGCCCAAACAGGCCACGTATGCAATGGCTTTCGGCCTTACCCGCAACCGTGAATACGTGACTGGATTGCGCGTTCCCCGCCTCATGGATGTTCGTCGGCATGTCCTGAGAAGCTCTCGGCCCCCATGCAGAAGTTTGGAAGCCCTCTCCCGGGGCCGGCTTTTCAGCCTTCGAGTCGTTGTTCGAGTCGTTCCAGCTTTCCACCCTTTAGCGGAGCAGTTTTTGCAGGGTGAGTGGCCTCTAAGAACTGATGCATAGGTGTTCCAAAAGGCAAAGGCGTGGTGGGGGGGTCCCGGAGCAGGCGTGGTGGGGGGCCCCAGAGCAGGCGTGGTGGGGGGTCCCGGAGCCGTTTTTGCAGGGTGAGTGGCGTCTAAGAGCTGATGCATAGGTGTTCCAAAAGGCAGGCGGTGTCAGGCGTGGTGGGGGGTCCCGGAGCAGGCGTGGTGGGGGGTCCCGGAGCAGTTTTTGCAGGGTGATGGGCCTCTAAGAACTGACGCGTAGGTGTTCCAAAAGGCAGGCGGTGTCAGGCGTGGTGGGGGGTCCCGGAGCAGGCGTGGTGGGGGGTCCCGGAGCAGGCGTGGTGGGGGATCCCGGAGCCGTTTTTGCAGGGTGATGGGCCTCTAAGAACTGATGCGTAGGTGCTCCAAAGCCAGAGGCGTGGTGGGGGGTCCCGGAACAGGCGTGGTGGGGGGTCCCGGAGCTGTTTTTGCAGGGTGAGTGGCCTGTAAGAGCTGATGCATAGGTGTTCCAAAAGGCAGAGGCGTGGTGGGGGGTCCCGGAGCAGGCGTGGTGGGGGGTCCCCGGAGCAGTTTTTGCAGGGTGAGTGGCCTGTAAGAATTGGTGTTCCAAAAGGCACGGGGTGTCAGGCATGGTGGGGAGTCCCGGAGCAGGCGTGGTGGGGGGTCCCGGAGCAGTTTTGCAGGGTGAGTGGCGTCTGAGAGCTGATGCATAGGTGTTCCAAAAGGCAGAGGCGTGGTGGGGGTTCCTGGAGCGCCGGAGCAGGCGTGGTGGGGGGTCCCGGAGCAGTTTTTGCAGGGTGAGTGGTCTCTAAGAATTGGTGTTCCAAAAGGCAGGCGGTGTCAGGCGTGGTGGGGGGTCCCGGAGCTTTTTTTGCAGGGTGAGTGGCCTCTAAGAACTGACGCATTGGTGGGGGGGTCCCGGAGCAGGCGTGGGGGGTCCCAGAGCAGGCGTGGTGGGGGGTCCCGGAGCAGTTTTTTGCAGGGTGAGTGGCGTCTAAGAGCTGATGCATAGGTGTTCCAAAAGGCAGGCGGTGTCAGGCGTGGTGGGGGGTCCCGCAGCAGGCGTGGTGGGGGGTCCCGGAGCAGGCGTGGTGGGGGTCCGGAAGTTTTTGCAGGGTGAGTGGCCTCTAAGAACTGATGCATAGGGGTTCAGGCAGGCGTTGTCGGCGTGTTGGGGGGGTCCCGGAGCAGGCGTGGTGGGGGGGTCCCGTGGTGGGGGATCCCGGCCGTTTTTTGCAGGGTGATGGGCCAGAACTGATGCATGGGTGATCCAAAAGGCAGAGGCGTGGTGGGGGGTCCCAGAGCAGGCGTGGTGGGGGGTCCCGGAGCCGTTTTTGCAGGGTGAGTGGCTTCTAAAACCTGATGCATAGGTGTTCCAAAAGGCAGAGGCGTGGTGGGGGGTCCCGGAGCAGGCGTGGTGGGGGGGTCCCGGAGCAGGCGTGGTGGGGGGTCCTGGAGCTTTTTTTGCAGGGTGAGTGGCCTCTAAGAACTGAGGCATATATGGTGTTCCAAAAGGCAGAGGCGTGGTGGGGGGTCCTGGAGCAGGCGTGGTGGGGGGTCCCGGAGCAGTTTTTGCATTGCAGGGTGAGTGGCCTTTAAGAACTGATGCGTAGGTGTTGCAGAAGGCACGCGGTGTCAGGCGTGGTGGAGGGGTCCCAGAGCAGTTTTTGCAGGGTGGGTGGCTTCTAAGAACTCATGCCCAGAGCTGGTGACGTCAGGCGTTGAGAACCGATGTGCAGAGACCCGAGGAGGCTGGTGGTGTCAGGCGTGGTAAAAGCGTGGTGGAAGGGTGTTAAGATCATATGCCCAAAGGCTCCAAGAGAAAATCCAATCGCGCACGCGTCGTCGCCGTCGCTGCCATATTCGTCGTCGTCGGCGTCTTTTTCGTCGTCGTCATCATCGACCGCCGTCGTCCATGTCGTTAATGCGTTCGTTGTCGTGCTCGTCATCGTCGCTCGTCGTCGTCGTCACCGTCGTGACGCGTCGTCGTCGTCGTCGTTGCTCGTCGTGGTGATCGTCGTCGTCATCGACGTCGCTCGTCGATTTCGCCGCCGTAGTAGTCGTCGTCGTTGTCGTCGCCGTCCTGCTCTTCGTGGTCTCTCGGCTGTGTCGCCGTCGTTGTCGTCGTCGCGAAGACGTCGTGTGCCCCATACGCCTCCTTTCCTGCCTCCTCCTTCCCTTCTCCTCCCGTGCCCCTCCATCCTCTCTCCCTCCCTCCCTCCCCTCCTTCCCTCCCTCCCTCCCTCCCTCAAGCCAATATCCGAACTCTTTCTCCCTTTCTCCCTGAACCCTCCCTCCCAACATCCTCCTTCCCTCTCTCTCCTCCCCGTCAACGCCGCCCGCTGCTGGAAGAGGGGCGAAGGAGGGAGGGGGGGGGGAAGGGAGGAGCGCCCCAGACATCGGAGCCCCGCGCGAGCGAAACGGGCCAGACATGCCCCGAGGTCTGGGATGCTG